CACTACGGCGCGAAGGGACGGAACTCGAAAATTTAACGGCGCGAAACACGCACCTCGAACAAGGAAATGGCAATTCAACTCGCTCGAAAGGGAAAGGCGCCCCAACTCGGGGATGTTCCTCGGTCACAATCGAGACTTTGCGTAGTTTAACGTAATAATTCGTACACGCTGCGAGAGAACGCGAGAAGATTACTTTTGATACCTCGCTGGGTTTTCGTATATACGTTACGTAAGTTACAGGCAGCCGCAAAAGCGTTACATTTATTCCCTCGCTGTTACGTAACGATTTTCGCAAGCCGTTTCCGCTACGCTCGTGACGGCTCTCTCGCGCGATCCGCCGCGGCAATTTTCAGACCTGAAGAAGAGGCTGCGCGATGTCTGCGGAAACGTATCTACGCCCTTCGCAAACAATCGATCCCACGCGGGTAAACTTGACGCGGAGGATCAGGGTCAACCCTTAGTCTATTTGCCGTTAACTACTAAGTAATCGAATTTTGCAATACATTGCCGTAGACTTAGACCATTAGGTACACAGCGGTATGCATATTTATGCATATTTACGCGAGCCCATGCAAGATTCATGAGGCTCGCAAGTGTGATACTCGACTGGCAGCGCACTTGCGCGGTAGGGATCTCTCGTCCGAGTTGTAAGAAGAATTGCGTAACGAGCGCTTTTTCTACACTCTATAAAGAAGATATACCGTCTCGACGAGAGAAAACTGTGCCACTCGCAATCAGTCGATATGCAACTTCTCAAATGCAACGTAATTGCACATTCAGGGCCGGTGTGCAACGCGTACAATGTTAAGTTACAATTTTATTTTTACATTGCTTTACTTTTATACTAAATGAGATTGCAAGACATATACATATAAATGCAGTCGAGGATACTTTTTGTTGCGGTAACAGAAATCCTTTCTGAGGGCGCGCATCCACGCAGGGGCGTGACAGTTTTTCACGCGCACAGATTGCGGATCCTGATGGCTTTACATAATAAGAATTGCACAACTTCGTTTTTCTAAATTAACCAAATTCTAATCCCCCCTCCGACTCGTCTTAAGTACACTTCTAATATTATTATCGTTGCCGGCGCATTTACGGCAATGAAAGCAAGAATTCGTAATATCCCCGAGAAATTCAATAAAGACGCCGTTTGCAGGTCTTAAATACCCAGAAAATTAATGGGAATAGAGAGCGGCGTTCCAGTCACGCGTCAGACGTCTATTAAAGCGTGGTCTTTTATCGATTAAGCGGATTTACAATCAATTAAGCCCGGGGAATCGAGTCCGGCTATCGATTATTATTATTATTATTGCGGTCCTTCGCGGCGCGCATTCAGCCATCACTCAGCCGCGTTTAAAACCAATCAAGACCATCGGCCGTGGTTATTAGCGCGTCGATTAAGCGCCCGGCGCGCGACTTGCTCGGGACTACGTGATTTTATCGCCGCGGCGCGATACAGGCGATAAACGGCCACGGCAATTTTCCGACGCCGTCCGGAATAAGGACGATCGTTATCCGACTGATAAACAGTTTTTTTTACACGAGTCGCGTCGCGGGTAAACGTATTATTACGCGGTGTAACGGGCTCCCGATCTATTATTACGAAATCGCTCAATTATACAGATCGAGGACGTAGGCAGCCGCGGGCGTGTCGGGGAAATAACTCTTTCAACGCGCACGCCGAAGAAACGCGCGGTTGATTAGGCGCGGATTATACTCGGCCGCTATTTGCATCTCGAGTCCGGGGAGTAGCGCTTACGCACGTTCGCCCGGATCGCATTATCGCGATTGCAGACACGAACAGCGCCGAGTGCCCCGCGCGCGCGCGCGCGCATGCACGCGGCATTCCCGTGATTAGCCGGCGAGCGGGCAGACTAATTACCGAAATATCGGGTGCAACACGCGAGTATTACCTCGTACGTCAACATTAATGTGTAATAATGGCCGGGGCATCGTTGCGCAAACTCCGACACGCTCGCGCGCACGGCGGGCGGTGAGGAGATGCGAGCGGGGGAGTGCGTGCGCGAAGGGAGAGAGAAATAGAGAAGACAAAGTGACGGATGATTACGTGTCAAAACGCGACGTAGCGCCCCGACATGATTGCGACCCGCAGCACCCCCGATCGCAGGCTACGACCCGCGCGCGCGGTATCTTCAGCTCGGCCCCCGCGCGCTGATAAACGAGCCTGTTGCAAATTACTTTATCGCGACTGCACTTTCAGCGCCCCCTCCGTCCCGCCCGGCCTCGATAAACGCCCGCGGGCGAGATGCATTATTCAGAAGACGCTATTCGGCTAAATTGTGTACCGACTAACCCGGCGAGAATGCTTAACGACGCGATTGACAAATAATCGGATTACTTACAATTGCGCGAATCGCGACTCCGCGCGGCGGCGTCGCGATCGATACCTGCCGACCGCTCAAAAATGAAATGCGAATATATCGCGCGAGTATCCGGCACCGTAACGTAGCCGCTTTTTTTGTTCAAACGTGGCGTTTGCGTCCCGGTGAACGGGGGTGCGTGCAAAACGGACGCGGGCCCGCGCGTGCGATTCGGCGGAGCTGCGAGTGACACGCGCCACCGCGTCGGACGTGCGTCGACGGTCGGGAGGGCCAGAGCGATTTTCTCGGCGATTTTCTCGGCAATTTTCTCAAACGGCGGCGCGAGCTCTATCGATCTTAACGCCGGAGGTTCGACCACCGCCGGCCGGTGCCGTCTCGAGATACAAACGGGGCGCAAACAAAAGCGAGCGCGTCCACGCGCCGCCCGCCTCCTGTCCGGCGGCAATCAATTACGGAATTGCCGGAGTCAGGCGGTTTTGACTGGGCCGGTGCGGGCAATTTATCAGATTAATCGCGGAGGAAGTGATTCCCGGCGGATGATGGGACCGACGCAGCGGGCGAGCGAGCGAGCGAGCGGGCTCCATATGTCAGGAAGTGACCAGGTGTCGGCGCGGCGTCCAGACCGAAACGCGACGGCAGCAACGTGTGTAGCGCAGCGCGGCGAAGGGGGTTGCAGGGGGTGGCGCACCCACGCGGGACACGCGATATCGGGACCAGCTGTCGATCGGACGCGTATCCCGTGTGCGTCCGTTGTGCTCCCGCGGGGAGACGAGCAGAGACGCGGTTCAAAGGCGATGTATCGCCGCGAGAGAGACCGCCGCCGCAATTTCGCCGCCGCGCCGGTACGCAATTTGCGCGGGTGTTATCTCGCCGGCGACGACAACGGAGGAGCGCGATAAGCGCCCGGTTGCGCGCTTTGATGTATGAAAAGTGCGATAGCGCACTGCGCTAATACGACGCCGGCAGGTTGTATCTGTTGTGGGGTTTTGTGAAACGCGATCCCGATAAAGTGGATGTGTTCTTACGGTATATCGTGGGCGATAACGACGGAGGGCGAGGTGGAGAGATTACGCAGCCTGCCAGACGTGTGAAAGCGTGACTTTAATTGCCGCGAGACGAGATATCTAGTCGCGCGATTCTATTAAACTGATTCTACATTGGTCGTATCGTAGTGTCGCAAGGGTCGTAGACTGGTTCTAATGGCCTGTGTCCACGATACCGGAACTTGGTCCAAGTTCTAGCATCGTGGACGCAGGCTTTTATTCAACGCCAACTGATCGAGTCTATGATTTGCGATGCTAGAACTTGGTCCAAGTTCCGGCTCCGACGAATGTGTAGCCGATCAACTTGCAGCTTTTATGGACTAGCAAGTTGACTGGCCGCAGGTTTCTCGAAACTAGAACTTGGACCAAGTTGTAGCATCGTGGACACAGGCCTTGAGCAGTCCAGTAGGAAAAGCAGTATCGTGTGCCGTTGGCTTAAAATTCTGCATCTTAAAGGCCTGCGTCCACGATGCTAGAACTTGGCCCAAGTTCCAAGAAATGCGTAGCCAATCAGCTTGCAGCTTTCATGGAATAGCAAGTTGACTGGCAACACATTTCTCAGAACTGGAACTTGGACCAAGTTCTTAGCATCGTGGACACAGGCCTTTAGCGCCTGATTACGACCGCATTGCGCTTCACGCGCGTTCGGTCGCGCTCTGCAGGTTTTGTGCGGGAGAGGCGCGGAAATAAGCGCAAATACGCGTGATTGATTAGCCGAACGGCAATGTATTTTTCATCGTCGATCCCGCTAATGACTCGCGCGTAGGAACGCGCGGGGGATCCCGCGCGGCGCGCAAAACGCGAGACGGGAGAACAACGGGTTGGCTCCGGCGCAAAACTACGCGTTCCAGGCCGCGCCGGTAGCGCATACGTACGTACGTATACGAGCGGGTAGATTGAAACTCAATTATTGGTCGTGTTAACGGGCTTGGGCACCGCATCATCCATTATTTTCGGATTTTGCCCGTGCGGCTAGGCACATAAATTACGCGCCGGAGTTCATCATCAAATATACATATATTATCGCGCCGCGTATTCCGCCCGGCGCAACGTCATTCTTCAGTATATACAAAATCTATAGCAATCCCACCCCCAACCCCCCCCCCCGGTCCCGGCAGACCCCAGTCCCCTGCAACCGTTCCCGAGCGCGACACCGCCCGGCGTTGACCGCTCGAGGTTTCGGTTCGCGATATTACGAGGCGCGATCGTTGATCGCAGGTCTAAAGTGCCCATGATGCTAGAAATCGGTCTGAGATCTCGATCCGAGAGATGTGTGTAGCCAGTCAACTCGCATCATTTACAGAAAAGCTGCAGTTGATTGGCTACACATTTCTTGGATCGAGATCTCGAGCCAATTTCTAGCATCGTGGACACAAGACTTTACGGCGGTCCGAATCGCCTGATCTTCGTACACTACGACTTTTGCGATTCTAGCCGTGCTTCCTCTTACTCTTACGCCTAGTCTTTCTATTCGACAAAGAAGACCCTCCCTTAATCCGATACTGATTACAATTGTTTTTATCGACTTGGTCGCTTTACGTTGCGTCAATTGCGACGACGGATATTTCACGCGCGTTGAAAATGACGAAAACGTTTGAGATCGTTCACTTACCTTTTGCGCCTTGCAGGCGGCGGCCAGCGGCAGAACGTCGTGAGGATGCGCGGCGTGACGATCGCGAAGACACAGGGCGCATATCGCGATCTTGCAAAGGGCGCAGTAGAGGGTCACGGCCTCGCCATTGTGATCGTTGCAAATCGGCGTGCCCTCGGGCCGGGATCCCTTGCTCCCGCTTGATTGCCAGCTGCCTCTCGGTGGTCCCAGGTTGTGGGCCGCCAATGGGCCCCTCTTCGGATGACAAGACTCCCTGCAGGCGTCGCAGTACAATACCTGAAAGAAGAACCGTCGAGTTTCCAATTATTATCAAGAAATATTAAAGCGCGCTTACGTCCACTTTCAACGCCCCGATACTCGTAATATCCAATAGAGATTAGATACACGGAGAGAATTTTCTCTTAACATTTAGCCTGAAAATCGTGTGATCGCGGGACAACACGGTATTTCGAACAATTTTATGAGTTTTTCGAAATTTTACCATACGTTTCACTATAGTAATTGCACTTAGCATACATTTTACTCGAGGGACAAACCGCTGAGGGCATTGTGGTGCACATATTTGCGGCATTACTGGGCATTACTAGGCATTTTTGAGGCATTAGACCTCGATGGGGCATTATAAAATAAGGTAAAATAATAAGATAAAGTAATGCCCACTGGGCATTAATAAACGGAGAGAACTTCCTTTTAAAATTTACCCTGGAAATCGTGGGACAACATGTCATTTTAAACAACTTTATGAGAGTTTTTCGAAATTTTATACATTCTACCAGTAAAATGTAATCTGAGTATAATTACTTGCAAAATGTATGGTAAAATTTAAAAAAAAATCATAAAATTCTTTGAGCTGTCCCACGAATTTATGCTAAAAATCAAGTAATTGTGGGCCAACATGATATTATAAGAGTTTTTGAAATTTTACCGTACATTTTACTAGTAAAATGTATAACAAAATTTCAAAGACTCATAAAATTCTTCAAAACGCCATGTTGTTCCACGATTACATGATTTTCAGGATAAATTGTAGGAGAAAATTCTCTCCGTGTATTAGGGAGGAGAAATTGTCGCTGTAAAAAAATATCAATAGAGTGTCCCGCGGCGTTCGCCGATGTTTCCCCTTTGTTTCTTTCTACCGCATTTTTATTAAATAATAAACAACGCAAGGATATCGCGTGTGCCGATAAAATTTCCTTATTGTTAGCTGCGTCAAGTACGTTCTGCTTTGTCGAACTTGTTTAACGCGAGGGTAAACTGAGCCCGCGAATAATTTCAAGACTCATTATTTTTCTTCTGGAAGCAATTTTTGCGGCACTGTTCAGCGCCATCGAACATTCCCCGTCCGCGCGGTATTTCCTCCTCGGAAATAATATCATTTCGATTATCGATAGCCGAGGTATTGTCGTCGCGCGGAAACGTTGCCGGCAACGAATGAAATTGCAGGCGCCATCGATGCTCTCTGAGTTTTTTTTTCCCCCGCGCAACGAGGAACGACCGGCGCGGCGTGTAAAATCACAGAAAAAATATCCGCCACTTGTCTCGCGACGCGGTATACTGGAGGGATGCCGCCACGAGAGGGGCCGAAAATGAAATTTAACACTTCAGGAGGAAAGCGAGCAAGAGAGGAGGCGAGGCGAGGGCGAGCGTGCGATTGGCGTGCAACGTTGTCGCGCAACGAGATATTTCATGCGACGCGGCACTCCGAAGCGCGGTAACTCGATCTTTTCAAACAGAGCGCCGAACAATATAAAATCGCCCCCTTTGTGAGAGCGTGAATGCAACGTGGCGACGATTTGCGCGGACACGCCGTGCAAACATGTTGCGCGAGCCGGAACTGACGATTGTCCAGAAGAAAAAAAAAGCCACACGTTGTTCAAAACTGAGGAAATTTATTCGAAATTATATCGCGACGAAAGAAACGTTCAAAGGTACCGTTTTTCAGGCTCTACGTCGAGGGGGGGAAAAAAGGTGTTTGAAATGTTGAATCAAGAAAATATTTCTGCGAGCGGTTGAGTAAATATTTGTTAGTTCACATAAACATTTGTCCATTTTTAAAAATATCCGTTTCAACTGTGTGTGCTTCATTGGAAAACATATTATGCAATTGAACTAAAGAAGTACTGCCAACTAAATATATTTAGTAGTGTCGACAATTTCATTTTCTCGATGTACGAAACGGAAAAGATTATCGTGACGCTAGGTTTCGAGCAGTGAACTTAATACTATATGGAACACCTTAATAAACACCTTAAATGGTACAGAGAGTGACGGACAAACAGTTCCATCCGCTTCTTTTTCTAGTAGTTAATGATATTCATAAGACTCATATGTGTTAAACACAAATTCGAAGGCATAAGAAGGCTAAGAGCCGTGGCAGGATGTCAGTGTCTTAAATAAATTTATAATAAAATTATTTAATCTTCTTATTCCTTCGAGCTTGTGTTTTTCTAGTAATTCTGATTGGTCAACGATTTTCTATCCCACTTACGAGGGAAGATAGAATCGTTGACCCAGAATCGTTCCAGCTGCATCTCTTCCTAGTAATTCTGACTGGTCAACGATTTTCTATCTCGCTTACAAGACAGAAAATTGTTGACCAATCGGAATTACCAGGAAGAGATGCAGCTGGGACGATTTTGGGTCAACGATGTTCTATCTTCCCTCGTGAGGTAAAAAATCGTTGACCAATCAGAATTACTAGTAAGGAATGCAGATGGAATTATCGTTTGTTCGTTTCACCCCGTCCATTTCCTTAACACGGTAATACATATTCCAGTACAGTATCGAGTTCACTGGTTTCGAGGGACATTTAAATGTCATTTAGATTACATATTGCGCGCGGGCGCGCGCATACATTTTACGCCAGACAAATCGGCGCGGTGTATTCGAAACGACGTTGCATTTTTATCGCATTCTATCCACGAGGGAGGCCACTAAAAAGCGAGATAAAAATACCTCTTCTCGTAAACAACCGTGACGTTCGACGCATCTGTTCGACGTGAAATTAACAGGCGACGTCCGTTTAGTCGGGGAGAATTAAGGGAAGAAATTTGTCGCGTCTCTCCCTCTCTCTCTCTCTTTCTCGAGGCGGGATTTTTGTCCTCCTTGATTTCGACCGGCGAAACGTCTCGTCTTTCGACGACACACTCGCGACATTACCCGT